TTTTAATAATTTAAGCAATTTAAGAATTTATGTTAATTAATATTATAATATTCCTTAATTAAGAGTAATTAGAAACCGTAATATTATTAGGAATGATTCCGTAATATTCCTTAACTAGCATTTTAGTCTTACAAACATATTTATTACATATAACATAATTAAAATTATAATAAATTAATATACATAAATATTATTAAATATATAAATTATATTTTAAATTTATGATAAATAATTTGTATTGTAACAAATAAATAATTCATAGTTATTGATGATTAATTTATTTTAAAATACTAAAATTCAATTCATAAATAATTATGATAAATAAAAATTTAATTAGATAAACAAATCAAATTGAATATTTATCAAGTAATTTTTTTTAAGTTTTTTGACTTTTTTTGCCTACAAGAGATCTGATTGGATAAACTTATTATGTATATGAGAAAAAAAAATTAGTGAAAATAATAAATCAAATTCCTGATATAATTTGAATTTTTTAAAAGGTTAAATAAGAAATATTTAAAATGTTAATGCAAATAAGTTCATTTTTAAGTTATTGGATAATTTCTTTTTATTTTATCTTCATATTTTTTATACTCATAAGTGTTTTGTTGAGGAAACTATTTAAACTTAATTGTTGTAGTGGTTCCCAACAACTCATCTATTTTACTGAAGAGTGGCTTGAATAATTTGCTTTTGAATTCAGTATGTTTCTTAAATATATAATTAAGTGTTTCTTCAACGCCTGCAGGAGCTTGATCATGATATTGAGGCACAAATTGAAACATTAAAAAAGGAAGTGAGCAAGATGCTTGTCTCAAAGACTGAGAATCCCTTAACAAAAGTTGACTTGATTGATTCAATCTCTCGTTTGGGTGTGAACTATCACTTTGAGCATGAGATTGATGAAGTTATGCAACAAATTTACAAGAATTATGTTGTAAACGGAGAAATAAATATTGAAGCCAACCTCTCCACTGTTGCTGTGTTATTTAGATTATTGAGGCAACACGGATTTCATGTTTCACCTAGTATATTTCTCATCTTAAGTATCTACTTCAATTGATTTTTTTTAAAATCATCTTTGAAAATCACTTTATTTAGTTACAACATAAATTACACACACTAATGAAAAAACAAGATTTCATGTCATAGACATACATATACTTTCATAATAAGAAAAAAAAAAATTTTTGGATTATATTATTTAATATTTTTAATCTACATCGTTTCTCACTTTGATTAAATTTTGAATGTCATAATTAGAGTAGTAAACATTCAATAAGGAATAAAGCATGAAGTTTTTTTTTATTATTATTAATAAGGGATGCACCTTAAATGTTATCTCACATCTTTCATATAGTTTTCTTAAATGTTGTCTCTAACTATTTTTCAATTTTGTGGTTGTTGAATAAAACACTAGTTGTGCTCAACAAGTTCAAGAATCTACAAGGAAACTTTAATGAGAGACTTTTGAGTGATGTTGAGGGAATGTTAAGCTTGTATGAAGCCTCACATATGATGGTTCATGGAGAGGACATTTTGGAAGAAGCACTAACTTTCACTTCCACTCACCTTAAGTCCATTACCACCACATTGAGTCCTTCTCTTGCAGCTCAAGTCAATCATAGCTTAAGGCAAGCTCTCCATAAAAACCTGCCTAGGCTAGAGGCACGACGCTACATTTCTATCTATGAGCAAGATCCTTCTCATAATGAAATTCTACTTACTTTGGCAAAATTAGATTTCAATAAATTGCAAAATCTACATAAAAAAGAATTTGGCAACATTTGCAAGTAAGTTTTTCATCCATGCAACTTTCCCATAGCTAAACAAACAAAGTTAAATCAATTCCAAAGACTAGTTCTTCTAACTGCTATATATTGTTTTTGGTCTTTAATTGTATAGGTGGTGGAAAGAGTTGGATGTCTCTAGTAAATTACCCTATGTGCGAGATAGAATTGTGGAATGTTGCTTTTGGGTTTTAGCGGTATATTTTGAGCCCCAATATTCTCAAGCAAGAAAAATACTTTCAAAAGTATTTGGCATAACATTAATCATTGATGATACATATGATGCATATGGAACCATTGATGAATTAGAACTTTTGACTGAGGCAATTGAAAGGTTAATTAGTAAATTATATAAACACAAATTTTCTTCACTTTCTATTTTCATAATTAGGTAATTATTTTATTGAAATTGATTTTCAGGTGGGATATTAGTTGCTTGGATGATCTCCCGGAATCCATAAAATTACCTTATAAGTTGCTGATAAATCTTTATGAAGAAATAGAACAAGAAATGATTAAAGAAGAAGGAAAATCTTGTTGCATCAAATACAGCATAGAAGAAGTACACATTTTTTTCCCTAATTATTATCAACATCCTGAGTTACAAGGCTTGTATATCAAATTAATTTGTGGGTTCTATTGACAGACTCAAGGTTTTTGTTGACAAACTTAAGGATTTGTTTTAAGATTAATTATATATTAAATATAGAGTTTGTGAACTAAGGTATCCTTTCAGTGCACATATATTGTTAAAACTAAATATAAAAAGTACTCCTTACATTAAAAGCTACTATAATTCTATCCAAAGCACAAGGACAAATATTTTTCATGATATTCTTTCAAATTCAAAATCTATATATTTATTATAATAAATCTTTGTTGGCAGTACAAAAAGTTAGTTCGAGCCTACCTGAATGAGGCTAGATGGTTCAACAACAACTATAAACCAACAATAGAGGAGTACTTGCATGCATCAATAATATCATCTGGTTACTCATTGATGACAATAACAAGTTACATTGGAATGGGAGACATGGCCACTGAGAACATCTTTCAATGGGCAGCAAATGAGCCAAAATTTCTTAGGGCTATTTCTATTGTTGCTAGGCTAATGGATGACATTGTATCCAGCGAGGTATAGTCTTTCATTTTAATAATCATTCTCTTCAATGTCTATGTTCCATTAAAGCATGAAAATATTAATTTTTATGTTATTTCTCGTTTCATAGTTTGAACAAAAAAGAGGACATGTTTCCTCATTCTTGGAATGCTACATGAATCAATATGATGAGTCTAGGGAAGCTGCCATTCACGAATGTCAAAATAGAATAATTGATAATTGGAAGGATATAAACGAGGAGTGTCTTATGCCGACCAAAGTTCCAATGCCTTTTCTGAGACGTCCTTTCAACCTTGCATGTTTCATGGATGTGTTCTATAAAGATGAAGATAACTTCACGCACTCTGGAGGAATAATGAAGACATCTATTAAAGCTTTGCTCTTAGATCCAGTGCCTATTTAACCATTAATTTCGGTCCCTTATATATGCTTCATATACAACTTTAAAGGCTAAATTATATTTGTGGTTTCTATTGACAGACTCAAGGTTTTTGTTGACAAACTTAAGGATTTGCAATTAGACTAATTCATATATTAAATATAGAGTTTGTGAACTAAGGCATCCTTTTAGTGCACATATTGTTAAAACTAAATATAAAAAAGTACTCCTTACATTAAAAACTACTATAATTCTACCCAAAGCACATGACAAATATTGCATGATATACTTTCAAATTCAAAATCTATATATTTATTATAATGCATCTTTGTTGGCAGTACAAAAAGTCGGTTCGAGCTTACATGACTGAGGCCAAATGGTTCAACAACAACTATAAACCAACAATAGAGGAGTACTTGCATGTATCAGCAATATCATGTGGTTACTCATTGATGACAATAACAAGTTACATTGGAATGGGAGACATGGTCACTGAGGACATCTTTAAATGGGCAACAAATGAGCCAAAATTTCTTAGGGCTATTTCGATTGGTGGGAGGCTAATGGATGACATTGCGTCCAACGAGGTATAGTCTTTCATTTTAATAATCATTCTCTTCAATGTATATGTTCCATTAAAGCATGAAAATATTAATTTTTATGTTATTTCTCGTTTTATAGTTTGAACAAAAAAGAGGACATGTTTCCTCATTCTTGGAATGCTATATGAATCAATATGATGAGTCTAGGGAAGCTGCCATTCACGAATGTCAAAATAGAATAATTGATAATTGGAAGGATATAAACGAGGAGTGTCTTATGCCGACCAAAGTTCCAATGCCTTTTCTGAGACGTCCTTTCAACCTTGCATGTTTCATGGATGTGTTCTATAAAGATGAAGATAACTTCACGCACTCTGGAGGAATAATGAAGACATCTATTAAAGCTTTGCTCTTAGATCCGGTGCCAATTTAACCATTAATTTCGGTCCTTTATGCTTCATATACTAAAGGTTAAATTATATTTTTAGTCTTTATATTTATTTTTTAAAATTTAATTTAGTCTTATTATTGTTAAATGGTTCATTTTAATTCTCTGATTTTTTAAAATGTTTAATATTATCTTTCTATTCAAATTGACACTAATAACATGAACGAAATTGGACGAAGTGACAATATTGAACATCATTTAAAAATTAGAGAACTAAATTAACTTATTTAAAAATAGTGGGACTGATTAAACAAAATAATTTAACATATTTTTTTTCGATAAATTTAAATTTTTATTTTACCTATTTAATAATTTCTTTTATTAGATAACTCTTTCATTTTGTGATTTTTTTAATTTCAAGTAGTACTCAATTTGTTTTAATAAATGATCTTGTTAAAAAAAAGTAAAAGAAAATTCTATTTTATCCGGACAAAAAAATGTTAGATAAATTTTTATTCAATTTAATCTCACTATTTTTAAAATATTTAATTTGATCCTCTAATTTTCATAAATATTCAATATTATCCTTTCATCTAATTTTATTAATATCGCTAATATCAATTTAGATGGAAAGATAATAATGAATTTTTTTTAAATCAAAAAATAAAATTAAATCTTTTAAAAATGATGGAAATAAATTAAATTTTAAAAATAAATAAAGAGTTTAAAATATGATTTAGCCTGCTTTAAATATATATATAAAAAAAAAATGCATGTCCATGTGTGGGATTTGTTTTGATATATGTGTCCAAAAGGATTTTGTAAAAAGAAAAAGAAGTGTATATAAGCTTTGAGTAATAAAAGTAACTAACCTTAGTATTGTCTAAATAATTTGACATCTTAAAATAAAACATTCGTTCAGCGTCTAATGTGTTTGGACTTAAAAGTATTTTTAAGATCAGTTATATTTTAGCTGATTTTAAAAGTATTTTTAAGATCGGCTAAAATGGAACCGATCTTAAAAGTTGTAACTTTATTTACCAAAATACCACCGTGACACTTTTAAGATCGGTTAAAATGTGACCGATCTTAAAAGTTGTAATCTTATTTACAAAATTGCCATCATATTACCGATCTTAAAACTCTGATCTTAAAACTAATTTTTGTACTAGTGAATGTGTTTGGACTTATTTTTTCATCCAAACATTAACAAGTCCAATGCTTGCACTTAGTGTTTTTGCACTCTCAAAAAGACCAAGAGCTTGATTCAAAATCATGAAAATATAATCGTTGTGATAACTTGCTCTGATTATGACACAATTACTATACTATTTTCTCTTTTCACTACAACAAAATTTGTTATTAACGATAATTATTT